GTAAGGTTCCAGAAGCTCAGAGAGGTAAAGGGGTGCGAGGCCATTTAGGCACTTGAAGGTCAACAGAATAATTTTAAAAACTATCCTCGTACGAACAGGGAGCCAGTGAAGGGAGGACAGAACTGGAGTAATATGTTCAGACCTACGCGTTCCGGTTAAAAGCTGAGCAGCAGCATTCTGGACGAGCTGAAGACGTGAGATGGAGGCCTGGCTGATCCCAGCATACAGTGCATTGCAATAGTCCAATTGGGTTGTGACAAAGGCGTGGATTAGTTTCTCAAGGTCGGGTCTGGACAACACTGGCTTTAGCTTAGCTACCTGTCTGAGTTGGAAGAAGCTTTTCTGCAGAACAGAGTTGATTTGTTTGTCAAACTTGAAGTCAGAGTCTAAATCCATTCTGAGATTTTTACCAGACTGCTTCAGATATGGCTGAAGAGAGTCCAGGTTGACAGGATCGGGGGTGGCAGTTGAGCTAGGGCTAAAGACAATGACTTCTGTCTTCTCATTGTTAAAACTTAAGAAATTTGAAGCCATCCAGGCCTTAATGTCGTCCAGACATTTTAGCAGAGGGTGAATGTAGCAAACACTTGCCTGTTTCACAGGCAGGTAGATCTGGCAGTCACCAGCATAACAATGCAATGAAAGACCATGTTTCCTCAGGATGGACCCCAGTGGGAGCAAATAAAGTGAGAACAGAATGAACAAAAGAACAACTAATTAAAGCTAGCTTCATTGTGGCTGAAGAAATCGCCCACGCTTCCAAGTCTTTTTCAGAGGGAGCGTTTTTGAAGCAGTGCATGCTGAAGGTCTGAGAGCAGGTGTGTCCCGACCAGTTACAGACTTTTAAAAATGTCAGTTTATCAAGAAACACCATCGCGAACCGAGTGAAGGAACTAGCAGAAAATCTTACAACACAGCTGACTGAGTAGACACGCAGCTACACAGCTTTTTCATTAGCTGTTGATGAAAGCACAGATAACACAGACACAGCGCAGTTATCAATTTTTATTAGAGGCGTAAAGTCGGACCTCTGTATCACTGAGGAGCTGTTGGATGTGGCTGCAATGCATGGGACCACGACGGGACAGGACATTTTTGATGCGGTGGAGAAGTCCGTAAGTAAAAATGCATTGCAGTGGGAAACTTGGTGGGATTAACTACAGACGGTGCACCGGCAATGTGTGGAGGAAAAGTGGGCTTGGTTGGACTAATGAAGAGGAAAATGCAAAAAATGAACTGTCACACGCCTCTGATAACATATCATTGCATTATCCATCAAGAAGCTTTGTGTGGGAAGGTGCTGGGGATGGAGGACATTGTGACCACAGTCATGAAAACAGTGAACTTCATTAGGGCGCGTGGCCTGAATCACCATCAGTTCCAGCAGTTTTTGCTGGAGATGGGCTCGGAACACGGGGATGTGCCGTACTATACAGAAGTGCGGTGGCTGAGTAGGAGCAAAGTCCTCAAGCGATTTTTTGAGCTCAGGGAAGACATTGCTCTTTTTATGCAGAGTAAAGGAAAACTCGTGTCTGAACTATCAGATCCAAAGTGGCTGTGTGACTTTGCTGTGTTGTGTGACATAACCGACCATCTCGCCCAGCTGAATCAGAAGCTGCAGGGACGCAAACAAGTCATCACGCAGATGTCCGACACAATCACGGCTTTCCAGCGTAAATTGGACTTTTGGATGCGGCAAGCGAAACAGGACAATCTTGTCCACTTTCCTGTTTGTCAGAGCATGTCAGCCCCGTTTCCTGAGACTTTTTCATGTGCTCAGTTAGCTACCAAATTGAGCTGGTTAAAGACTGAGTTTGATCGGCGCTTCTCTGACTTCAGAGCACAACAGTCTGGCTTTGACATCTTTGCCAATCCTTTCACCACCGATGTCTGCACTGCACCCCAACACCTTCAGATGGAGCTAATTGAGCTTCAAAGCGACAGTGGCCTGAGAGCAAAGTTCCAGGATGCTGCAATCCAGGACTTTTACCGTCTGATACCCCCTGGTTTGATGCCACAGCTTCGACTTCATGCTGCCCGTGTTCTGTCCATGTTTGGAAGCACCTATCTGTGCGAACAGTTTTTTTCCATAATGAATCTGAACAAAAACAAGCACAGATCACGCCTCACGGATGACAACCTCCATGCTGTTCTACGCATTGCCTCAGCACAGGACCTAAAGCCAGACATTGACACACTGGCAACGGGAAAACGGTGTCAGACATCTGGTCAGAAAAACACAGGTTAGCATTTTTTTTGAAAACTAAAATATAATAAAATGTAATTCAACCAAGAAGAAGAACAGTTAAACTGTGTGCAATTTAATGATTGTGCTTGCATTTTGTTTTGTGTTTATCATTTTCAGAACATGATCAATCGATAGTAGAGAGAGAATCCACTTGGTGTGTTCAAGGACAGGCAGCATCTCCTCATCAAAGACTAACCAAAAAACTTGAGTAATATAGTTGTGAACTGAGTCAACCTTTATTTTGTTTTTTTTAGTTGATTACATATTATTTATGTATAGCTGCTGTTGTAATTATTTAATGTTTGCAGGTCTTATGTGTGTATGCAGGCAAATTGTTGTCATCAAACCATCAGTTGGATGCAAGGCTGTGTGTAGCCTTTTTTTGTAAAATGCTACATGTGTCACATGTTCTTTGCAGCTCAGTTTTAGGATGTCTTCAAAGCTATTTGACTATTTGTTATTTTTCTTTATTCACTTGGACAGTTTGATCCTTCATTAATGGAGTTATGTGGGTTTTCATAAGCTGACAAAATTTAAAAGGATTTATGTTAGAGCAACAAGCAAACATATGTTTTCTATGCAACTGTAATTGTCATTTGAATAAGTTATAATAAATAATGAGTTATTTAACATTAAGGAGTAGTTACATTTTATTTTACATTACATTCGATTACATTTAGTTACATTTATAAGTTACATCTGGCCCTTTAAGGACAGCCATTATGCTGATGTGGCCCTCGGTGAAAATGAGTTTGACACCCCTGCTGTAGTCCATGGGCAGCTCCAGTGGTTCTTGTGAGGAAGAAGGGGGGTGGGTACAGATTTTGTGTATATTACAGAAAACTTAATGATGTCACAAGAAAAGATGCGTACCCCCTCCCAAGGATTGATGATGCATTGGATAGTCTTGTGCATGCTCGCTGGTTTTCCACATTAGATCTTGCCAGTGGTTATTGGCAAATGGAAGTTGATCCCAAAGACCGCCATAAGACAGTCTTTACCACTCGCCAGGGACTTTTTGAGTTCAATGTCTTAAGTTTTGGTTTGTGTAATGCCCCCAGTACATTTCAGCGTTTAATGGATCTTATTCTGGCTGACTTGCAATGGACTATTTGTTTGGTTTACTTGGATGACATTATTGTATTTGGCCGTGCTTTTCTGGAACATTTGACCCATCTTGATAAAGTGTTGGATAAATTAAGACAGGCCAATCTAAAAGTAAAACCATCAAAGTGTAACAGGTTTTCTACAAAAGTCCATTATCTAGGGCATGTGATTTCTGGTGAAGGGGTTATGCCAGACTCCGCCAAGGTTGAGTTAGTGGGAGGGTGGCCAGTACCAACTAATTAGACAGAAATCCAGAGTTTTTTGGGTTTGGCATCTTATTATCAACGTTTTGTACGTGGGTTTGCAGATATTGTCCATCCTTTGCATCAACTGGTGGAAAAGGGGAAGCAGTTTCGATGGACCCAAGACTGTCAAAATGCTTTTGATAAACTTAAAGTTGGTTTGATAACCGTTCCAGTTTTGATGTATCCAAATCCCCCAAACAGTTTATTTTGGACACTGATGCAAGTGACATGGGCATTGGGGCTGTATTATCTCAGGAAGTGGAGGGACATGAGAGAGTTGTTGCATATGCTAGCAGAGCTCTTACAAAACAGGAACGCAAATATGCCACCACTAAGAAATAACTTTTAAGTATGGTCACCTTTACAAGACACTTTAAACACTATTTGTTGGGGAAAGAGTTTGTTTTGAGAACTGACCACAACTCCCTCCGGTGGTTGCATAATTTTCAGAACTTGGAAGGACAGTTGGCTAGATGGGTTGAACAGCTTGCTAATTTTCAGTATAAGATTGTCCATCGCCCTGGCAAATTGCATGCTAATGCAGATGCACTTTCTAGATTACCGGGTGCTATTGAAAACAAACAGCCCCTTGCTGATCTTGTTGTGCAAGGTGAGACCCACAGAATAGAGCCAGTCTGTTCTGCGCAACCAGAAACTTCACAGGTACAAGTTGTATTGCCTCAATCCATGGTATCTGAAGTTTTAAGACAACTGCATAATGTCCCTACTGGAGGTCATTTAGGAGTACAGAAATTGCAGGGGAAGGTTAAGGATCAGTTTTATTGGCCAGGGTGGTTTAAAGATGTTAGGACTTGGGTCAGGGAATGTGTTGATTGTTGATCATGTAAAAACCAAGGAACGCGTCCATGTGCACCCTTGCAGCCCTCTGTTGTATCTGGGCCTTTTGAACATGTTGCTGTTGACATTTTGGGACCCCTCCCTGAGACTGAGAGGAAGAACAAGTATATTTGGTTGTAGGGGCTTATTTTTCTAAGTGGACTGAAGCCTTCCCTCTTCCTAATCAGGAAGCAAAAACTATTGCAAAGGTTTTGACAGAAGAGTGGGTGTGTCGTTTTGGGGCTCCACGCTGCCATCATTCAGACCAGGGCCGAAACTTTGAATCGACTTTATTTAAAGAATTATGTAGGCTTCTGCATATTCACAAGTCTCGCACATCTCCATACCACCCTCAGTCTGATGGGCTGGTTGAAAGGTTTAATCAAACTCTTTTGTCTATGCTCTCCCTCTTTGTTGAGGACAACCAGCTAAACTGGGATAAACTTCTACCTTATGTAATGTTGGCCTATCGTAGTAGTGTTCATGCCAGCACCTCTGTTACGCCCTACAAAGTCTTGTTTGGGCAGGAAATTGTGTTGCCAGTTGACATTATGTTAAATGTGAACAACAGAGAATTGTTTTCTTCTGTGGCTGAGTATGTGTCGAGGTTGCAGGAAACATTATCCACAGTAGTGGAGGCAGTCAAACGCCATCAAATAAAATCTTCAGAGCAACAGAGGAGATTTTATGATTTCAGAGCAAACTTTCAGTATTCCTCAGAAGGAGAACAAGTGTGGGTGCAAAACAAGGCCAGAAAGCGTGGGGTGTGTCCCAAGTTGCAGAGACGTTATAAGGGCCCATTTAGAGTGGTTGAGAGGGTGACAGATGTGCTATACAGATTAGTGCCAGCAGAGGGGGGTCCAGAGACTGTTATTCATGTCAACAGACTTAAGCCTTTTGTTCCTTCTTCAGCAGTTTCATCACCAATTGGCTTTGTGACCCGAGTCATCTTACATTGAGGCCCACGCCAAGAAAAGAGCAAAGTCCCCCACTGGAGGATGTCAGAGGGATGGAGAGTGTCCCTTTGGCTGGTTCATCATCTGCACTGTTTCCCTGGGATCCGTCAGCACTGCAAGATCAGCAGGGGGCTTTACCCCAAAGGACTAGATCAGTGGGGCAGGCTCGCCCTGTACGTCAGCGAAGAATGCCTGCTTGGTCTAAAGATTATAGCATGGACATGTAAGGACTCAAGGGCGAGTCCTTTAGGTTGGGGGGGGGGGGGTGTGTGATATGCTTAGGCAGGACTGATTTGTAGAGGCAAGGAGACTGATCAAGGACAGGTGTGTTCAATCAGTTGAGGAGCATCACACTAGATAAAGGTTTCTCAAACAAATTGTGGAGGGAGAGCTTTTGCAGTGGTTGTGGCAGCACCCTTTTGGAGGGAGGGTGTCATTCCCAGTCATTTAGGGCTGCCGGCAACGAAGACAGCAAGACAGGTGCTTAAGTGTTCCTGTGTCAGGAGGGGAGGCTGGGTGCCTCTTTTAGACAGTTAGGGCTGGGCTTTAGTGGGGTGCAGTCACCACCTTGGACTCCTGCTTCTGTTCCTGCCACCTGCTCTGATCTGGTGTGGAGCCAATCCAGGAGGTCTGATTGTCGTCCAGCTAAGTCAATCCCCAGGGGTGTTGGACGACATCACAATCTTAAACCCTGGGGAGGGGTCTCATCGCTGAGTGAGCTAAGTGAACAAAGTGAACTCATCTAACCTTTTATTATAGGCCTTACTTTTTAGCTTGGGTGGGGATCTTTTTAGGAGTAAATTAATAAATAAAGACTATTTTCATAACCTTCTAGTGTGTGGTGATTGTTTGACGGTTCTGACATTCTAGGCAAGATCTTCCTACTGTTTGACCCACAAATTTATTACAATAATAAAGTTATGAACAAATATGTCTGTCTCGTCGTTTGGGGAGCCATGCTTGAACCGTGTCGCTTCCCTCTGCTGCTGAGCAGCTGGTGACGCTCGTCACCCGCAGCACGCGTTACCTGCCCCTCTTCCTCTTTCACTTTAACCTTTTTTTGTTGTTGTTTGTTTTTTAGTTTGTCAAAGCACAATTTTGATTTTTTTAAATACAGAAGTAATGTTTAATAAATGTTAGGACTATAATAATAATAATGAATTTAATTTGTAACGCACTTTTCATTAACAAAAATCTCAAAGTGCTAAAGAGTTCAACTAAAATCAATGATAAAATCAACTGAAATCAATGATAAAATCAACTAAAATCTGTGATCAAATCAACTAAAATCTGTGATCAAATCAACTAAAATCTGTGATCAAATCAACTAAAATCTGTGATCAAATCAACTAAAATCAATGATAAAATCAACTAAAATCTGTGATCAAATCAACTAA